CCCCCCCCCCCCCCCCCCCATAAACTGGCTGGGTTTGCCCTTGGACTGGTAGACTGTATCCGAGATCCGCCCTGTTAGCTGACAAGGCCTTTGGAAGCCCAATCTGTCACGCGCTGAACGGGCTTTGAACGAGTTGGCATCGGGTCAGTCAAGCTTTCCTTCTCAGGTTTACTGACATGATGAGAGCCGCTTGGAGCTGAATATAGGCTCGCATCGGGCTTCGGGGAGAAAGTCAGTCATGCCGGCTTTGGGGTCGTAAGGTTCGGTGGTTGCTTCTGAACTGTGAGGGTCTCAATTCTTGGATCATGTGCCCCTTTGGCGATGCCCCAGAGGATCACTTGCTAGAAGGCGCCCAATCTGTCGACCTGAGCTTGCAACACTTGTAACAGAAAGACATGCTCAGAGACTGCAAGAGATGACATTCAGGGTGCGGCCTGGGCACCAAGGAGACCAATCAGCGTTTCGACCAAATCTTGCACGAAATATCCCGTGGCTTCGACCAAGCACAGAGGACAAGATTCTTGCAGCCAGGTTGGGGATGTTCTAGAGTAAACGTTTTCCTTCCAGTACCAGTACCAGTTGAATTTGCCATTCAATTATTAAAACTGGACTGACTGCTTTTTCCTGTCTTGTTCCGGCAGGTGACCCCATTCGAGCGCCAACTGTTCCCATGAAATCGCTGCACTTTATATGGGCCCTTCAAAGCTGACTCTTCTCTCTGTCTTGGCACGACCGGGGCTGAGCACCCGGAGCCTGCAGGGTCGTTTCATCACGAGCTGATCCTAAAATGAATGGTCCTGGTCGACACCAACCTGCCCCCAACAGAATCTCGACAGGGCACCCGGCACGAATATCCAGTGCTGCGTGAGGATAGCAGAGAAGACGGACAGCCGTCCCGGACCTGACCACGATCGGCCGACAACCCTCTTCGAAGCATTGACACAGGAGTGCAGCATCGAGGCCATCGGCGGCAGAGAGTTTCGACCGTAGCAGGGCACGTTGACGAAGCAAGCATTGCTCTAAGCCTTGGAAGAAGGCGGACCTACCCGAGACAGTATGGCGCCCCC